AATCACAAAGGCATCAAATTTCAATATGAAATTTTTGAAAATGGGACAAATGTAGTCTTTAAGTGTCGTGCACTGTACAATTTTTTTTTTGTGCTTATTGACCGATCGATAGGTTACGCACCTCACCTGACGATCTGCATCTGAGGTGCGTCAGAGGCAAGCGTTAGTCTGAGGCACAACATATATACATATGTTTTTTTATAAATCCGTTGTTTTTTTTCCTTATACGTAACTAGGTTAAGCACAATGTGATTCGGTGTTACACATGACTCAGATAAGTTATTATGATAAATGTTATCCATAAACAAATTAATAATTCAACACAAAATACAATAGTCTTTCAAGTTGACGATAGTTCAAAAAACCGAAAAGATAGCTAATCAGGGTTAGATTGTGTATCAATGGTCAATTTGACCAAATCAAATATGCAAATAAGATGCGTCACATGAGAGAGCACACATTCAGATAAGTATAGTTTAACCGATCGCTCAATTTGGAGTTATTGGATAACTCTAATGTTAGGTTGTATATGTTGTGCCTCAGACTAACGTTTGCTTCAGATCACAGCTGACGTACGTACCTCAGATACAGATCGTCAGGTAAGGTGCGTAACCTATCGATCGGTCAATGAGCACTAAAAAAAAAATTTTATGTAAAGAAATTATTGAAAATTGAACGTGCTGAAAAACCTAGACGGGAAGAATATGCCCGAAAATTTAGGCAAAAAAAAACTATATGTATAGAGAGAAAAAAGTACGTATTAATTGGAAATAGAATGTGCCGTGAAAATTCAGACAAAGAAATTCAAAGAAAAGAACGGAGGTACTAAAGAGACTTAATGTAAAAGAATGCTACTGTTGGTGGTAAAATACTAGAGATTCAAGAATGCTATTGGAGGTAAGACGAGCCAAAGTGATTCAAAAATATAGAACGCTACTGGAGTTAAGAAATACGCCAAAGTGATTTAAAAAATGCTACCAGAGAGAGAAACGCTGAAGAAATCCATGAATAAAAAGAATTCAAGTAAAAGGTTTTTTATTCAATTTATTTTACTCTTATTTTCGTTTGATTGCAGCTTAGATGATGATCGATAGGCTACGCACCTCACCTGACGAACTGCATCTGAGGCTGAGGCACAACATATATAAAGTTTAATTCCCAAGAATAAGAAGTGAGATTCATTGATCATGTATTTCCTTTGGAGACTAAGAGTAAAATATTTAATCGAAATTATAATGTTCATACATATTTTTGTATGTATGACTTTTAAAACGAATGGTTTTACCCCTGAAGGCCGAGGAGGTCATGAAGCTGTCTTACTTAAAAATACAATATATTTTATGGGCGGCTCCCATGCGATACCAAATGCAAGTCCATTCAAAAGTTCTATACGAGGTTATAACTTGTCGAATGAAATTTTTTACTTGGATCTTGCATCACCATTCTCTACAACAAGTCCACCGTACGTAGACCTTAGTGGGACTTCTGCGCGATTGCAATATGGAAATGAAAAATGTTAGCACTTTATTTTATTTTCTCAGCTAATTTTGTAATTATAACATAATTTTCTATACTTAAATTATTTAATACGTGTATTAGCAACTGCCTTAGTTGGTGGACCTTCTAATGAGGAAATACATCTTGTGGGAGGTGTACAACAAAATCTCACCCTACTTGATCAGATAGATCATAATGCAACAACAACTACAAATCAAACATTAATGATAAATGAATTGTTTAAAACTTGGAATTCAACAAATCAAACAATTTTTATTTACCGACCAACTGCACGAATTTGGATGAGTCCTGAGTCTGTCGCGAATATTGGTGCACCAACAATTAGACGTAGATCAACTTCAACGGTCATATCGAAAGGAATTATATATATATTTAGTGGACGAGCTGAAATAGATACGGGCTCGCCCACATTTACTTGCTTTAACGATCTATACACTTATGACACTGTTTTGTCAAGGTGGAATAAGATTGATGCCAGTAATGCTCCTACACCTCGAAGTCATAGCGCAGCAGTATTACTTCCAGATGGTAAGATCCTTTACATCGGTGGTGTTAGTCAGACTACTCCTGGAGAAGATGCAACACCAATAGATATGAAAATTGTTAGTTATTTTTATGTCAAATTTTCGGATATACTAAGTATTATATTTTTGAGACAATTTTTTTCTTTATATGTTAACAAAAATTTATTTATAAACTCTTATAATAGATCCCAGTATTCGATACCAATTCTTCAACCTGGTCGACTGAAGTATGTATATGGCCTTTTTCTTAATAACTATTTATTGCAATTTTTTTTTCTAACAATATAATTGTTATATTTATAGCAAGCGGAATTTGGGTCAACTTATATTCAACCTCGAACAGGCCATTCGGCCACCTTGGCACCAGACAATACGTCAATTATCATAATTGGCGGGACTTCAAGTAAATATCAATAAAAAAAATTTTAAATAAATTTTGTATTAATTATACTAATTATTTCTTTATTTGTAGGTTATGTGCGGAATGAAACCACAGCAAAACCAGTTATGGTTTTGTTAGATATTTCAAAAAAACCTTATACATATTCTGAACTAAATGTCCCGGGCGCTTCGGGTGCTAAAGCACCACCATTGGCCTATCATTCCGTAACTTCCTATCAAAATTATATGATAGTTGCCTACGGTAATTATCATACTATAATCATTATTATTTGTTATATGCATATATTTAATGATTTTCATAAAATTAATATTTGTCTTTTTCTTAAAAGGAAATATTACTAACGATGTGAGTCCATCGGTTGAGACCAATGGGTTCATTTATATATTGGATATGACTATGCCGTGCATAACCTGGACGAACAATTTCATTCCTGGTCAATCATTGTGTCATATATCATATAAAAAATTCAGTATTATTATAGCTCTTGTGTGTCTTATCGCAATAGAACTCGCAGGAATAATTTTAACTCGCTTTCTCAAAAGCTGCTGCAATTGGAATTGGAAATACTTTATAGCTCCGAGTATTCCTCGAAAATGGGTTTTGCTATTTATTTGGGTTCTTATAGTAATTGAAGTAGTGGTGATCATAATTATTTGGTGTGCGCTTTACCCACAAAATCAAATGTATACTTATTCACTTTAAAATTGTCTGATTGTATTACAACAGAATTCTTTATTATGGTATTCAGCTTTATTTTCATATACCTACCTTTACTATTTATGGCATTTAATAATCGCATTAAGCGTTATACATGATACTAATACTTAATATATGTAATTATTCATATAAGCTAACAATCAAATAAATATATCCTACATTTAAACGCTATTAAATAAAGAAACTTTTAATAGTGCATCGTTCAATTTTGTTGTACCATAGGTACCCAAAATGATACACTTGTGATTTAGTGTTTTAGTGTATATGATTTCCTATCAAAAGAAAGTATTGCTTAATATAAGAGATGTCTAAGTGGAAGAAATTTATATAATATTTTATTCAATTAACTTTAGTTAGGTGTATATATATAAGTAACATTTCCTTCCAGACATTTTTATTCATACTTTCAAGACGGATTTATACTGTTGTTTTTATATTTTTCACTTTTTCTTGTTTGCTTTATCGGATTTGGATTTATCTTTATTGGTTTGATATCACTTGATTGACTCCGTTTAGACGACCCTTTTATTCATTTTTTCGTTTAAAATGTATGCAATCAAAACAAATTCATGCTTAGACATATAAAATATATATATTCTAAGCATGGATTTTTATGCAACAACTCACATGCTATTTTATTTTCTTTATTAAGTGCATTGTTGTATTGATTTTATTTACGAATATATTTTTAGCCAATTCCAATTCCATTTGGGTAACAATTCCGACTATTCATTGTAATTATTAACTAGTACTTTATTCATGCTAAATATTTCAAGGGATATCGTTTACCTTTATTCATGCTAAATATTGCAAGTGATATCATTTATTAAAATATAGAAGACTATACCAGGAACGTAGTGGAACGAAGTGGATGGTTCAATTCGAGTTTTGCGTTCGTACACAAAATCTTGATTCTG